TATTCTCCTTGTACTTTTTCAGGAATCTCCGTTTACATATTTCTTTTGTCCATATTTTGTGCCCTATTGAATTTGAATCTAGATGACATGTTGTTATTTTATTTCTATCCTGAGCAATGCTCAATGCCATTCGTATTTCTCTGCGAATGAAATAGTCTTCAATACCCTCATGGATTATAATTCAATAGCTTTCAATACACTGCATCGCCAATTTTATTGATAAGAAATTTTTTTTCAAATCTCAGATGAATAAATAATTTCATAAATACGTACAAAGCATATTCAAGATTTAAAAAAAAAAAAATCATTATCCTCATAGTACCTTAAGAGCTACTTTAATTTCATTAAAAATGGGTAATGTTGCAATTATGTAATTCATCAATAAAAGTTAATATCATTGCATATGAAGAAATAAGAAAATACAATATGTACTTACCATGAAATAGAAAGAGAGCTGGAAGAAAAATGCATGTTGTAAATTTAATTGGAATATTTCTAATACATTACAGACATATAATTTCATAAGGCAAATGTATTTTACTAATAAATTAATATATTGAAATCAATTTCCCCTTTTCCGGTTTATTCAGAGAATCACTAGAATCAAAAGTCAAAAAATTAAAATGTTGCAAAGGAAATACTAGAAAGGAAGCACTGAATTTATTAATCCAGAACTTTCGAAAATTAATCAAGTTTTTGCGAGGTATAAATGTTTGACATCACTGCATGTTCATACTTTCTTAATAAGTAATGAGTTTGAACCAGTAAGGTAGGACATTAGGAGAATGTCCAAGGGCCTGCTCTATATCACGATTGTCGTGAAACATGTCGTCAACTGACGGACACATCTTAACACAGGTCATCAAAAGATGCATGTTGATGAAAATTAAATGATAGTGATATTACTGCCATTCTATTTCTGTGTGTGATATGGCCGTGTTTGGTGCCCGCTGGTGTGCCTGTTGGTTCCGTCGTTGTATAACTTGTTCTTATTCGAGAACATGACATAACTTACTTTGACCAAGGTACACCCGATAGTATTCTCCTTGTACTTGTCCTTGTATAGGAGTCTCCTTGTAGTTTTTTTTTTTTTTTTCCGTATTCATTTTCCGTATTTTGACATAGTTTTATTGAATTCAAGTTTGGTTTCTGATTATGTTCACGTGTTAGTATGTATTATAGCTTAAGTATTTCATTTTCTATAGATAATGTTAAACATATTACCGTTATATAATTGAAATCAGTTATTTACGGAAGCCCTGGAGTGCCACTATTGAAAAATATTTTATCTGGCGGCTGCAAATACAAATCACAACAAAAGTCAATATCGTCTAATTAAAAATATCACTCAGTCATATTGTGATTTCAATGGGTTTTTTTTTCAATGTAATACTTAAGGAGATATCAATTTGTTTTTATTCAGGAAGATATTACTTATTTATTCATGGGTGATTTCCCATATTAAGAAGTACACAGTGGGAAGCTATGACAATCCAAAGATTATTACAAAATTTTGAATTTCCTAGTATTTTTTTATCAAAGTTTGAATTCAGTAGAATTATGTTGCAGATATTTCCCGGTTTTGGCTATTTTAAGTCCTTTACTGAACTGATATCATAGAGGTCTGTCATAAAGCATCATTAAATTCAAGAGGAAAACAAATAAATTTAATTTCCTGATAAATTAATAGAGTGGTTATGATTAAATGTGAGGATATAAGGACTGAGTTTTTCTATGGGTTTTACAGGTGTATATAAAACTACTGTTTCTGTTTTAAAGAATATAGTTGTATGCGACAGGGAATAAAGTACTAAGTTTTTTTTTCAAGGACAGGATGGGTTGGATTTACTAATCAGAAGTAAAGATTTGTCAGATGATCTGAACAGAACAGGTATATGGATTTCTGCTGTCCGACTGTTTATACTGCTGAATACAGGGAAACATCAATATGTCTGCCTTCATTCAGTGTTAATAGGACTGTCCACGATCAATGAAAACCTTCAGCAATATTTGATACGCAGGCACAAGTTTGATAAAAATAACTTGACTGAGTGATAGATGTTTGATTTGATGAAACCGCCGACCAAGTGTTGTAACTTTGTTTTAATGTCGATATTCTATAACTAACGTTATTGTAAGTATTTCGATACAAAAAGAGACTTACCTCCATATAACAGAGTAGTGGAGAAAGGCATTGCCATTTTTAATCCCCTGCCACCAGGGACTTCTGTTGCCCACGCGTAAGGGACCCACAGATGTTAGATATCTAACCGATGCAAATCAACGGCAAACATCCAGTAAGTTCCTTGTAAAGTTTTAGAACTGCGAAATTATACATGACATTATGCTGAAAAGAGCTTCGTCTCACTAGCACGGGTAATTCTACTCTGGGTCATAACTAAAACATTATTCCTCAAAACATCGTGATCAACAGGCAGTTATATGGAATCAATATACTGATATAATAGAACTTTATATTTTTGTTTTGAAAAGACAAAGCAGATACGGCCATGTGTATTATTGGGGTTTAAAAATCTGGTTGTTCTATCACCAGCTGTAATATACGTCCTACCAGCATAAAAAGGCGTATTTCTTAATCGGATGGTAGGGTTTGGTAGCAGTTTAACACATGGTGTATTCATCCTATAGAAACCACAACAATACCATTCTTATGTGTCATTATCTTCTTGCATTTTGTTGACACGGTAATATTTCAACCTGTTTTGGTAATTTGCCAGTCTCGTTAGCATTACAATTTCAAGATGACATAATTTAATTGTATTGAACTTAAGTGTTGTAAGAGTATATGGTAATTTTAAAGCTCAGAATACTAAATGAAACGTGCCCAATTGAATATTCGTTGTTTTGTCAATCATCTCTGATTTTGAATAGATAGAATAGACAGCTGAAGTGGTGATATTCATGAGCATGAAAAACGTTTCTTTGACGGTGATGATTTTTTTTTCTGAGACAAACAAATTTTTCTTTGTGTAAAAGGTTTTCACATGTATATTGATTCTGAAACTCTCCAAAAAGTGAAACCGAAACACCCCTACACGCCGACCGCGCTTTAGAGTCAAGGTCACACTGTTGGAATATCAGTAAGTTTACTGATGTATGTGATTCAAGACATTCGCTTGTGTGGAACAATGCATATATCTATTGTGTATTTGATTTGCATTTAAGTACCATTAAGGTGTAGCACAATGAGACACATTTGTAGCGTGTGTGTCACGACCAGTATTTCAAATCGTGTTTAGATCTTTAGAATAAGAAGTTTATTGGCAAATTGTCAGCGGTGAGTATCGACACCAGGCCTCAGCTACTCAAAGCTTGGGCTGCGGCAAGGTCATTTGCAATTGTTTAAAAACAAATATCAGTGTCATAAGCTTTGTGATACCGTTGTTAGAAATTTGCATAATAACAAAGCATGACTTTACATTTAAACGCTCATTCCGAATAAGATTGGATTTAATATTCCTCTCCGCTACAGTCACATAAAGATAAACTATTTAAAGAAACTATAACAGACATAATTTTCGGTTTAACTGAGAAGGATGGGCGGGGAAGTTGGTAGTTGATGAGAGGAAGTGGAGTATTGGGGGATCGGTAGGGGGTTAGAGAGAGATCATGTAAAAATTCAGTAACAAATGGTACCCGTCTATGGTGTATATTTAGTAAATATTGATGATAGCTTTCTTTCAAATCTGACAAATTTAACAGTTTTTTTCTGTTTGGTAACGGGAAGTCAAGACTTCATAACAGTATGAATAATTTGTTACTTATATTGGTCTAATTTTCTATTTGGTTTGCTGGTAGGTATGTAAGTATCATTATTTCTGTCTCCACCGTTCTTCCTTTTGCTTGGCGTCGTCTCACAGACGAACGTCAGTGTTCTGGCGATGTGAGCTAAGGACCTATAGCTATCACTTTGTCTGTATCACATGTTTACAGTTCTATACATATGGTTTGTTGATTAGGATGTACGGTCGACAGTAATCAACTTTGAATATGTATTGTATTGCATTAACAAACAATATAGCACACAATTTAATCAAATAATTCAACAGTTTATTCATAAAAATAGAAATAATTTATTTCCGAACATATATGAAATCCAACACATATTGATGTTATTGTACATGTAGTGAAGAAGAATTATGATACAACCGTTTTAATGCTGTTACAGTGTAGACAAACAGAAAGTATTATACGAGTTACTTCCCTTTAACCTTTTTAAAGGAAGATTTTCCAATATGCTGGAGTGTAATTGTTTGTGCGTTCTTTGCTTATTATTTATTTACAAATCATTTAGAATATCCATGAAAAGGTTTTTTAATGTTTGCTTCAAAGTTTTAAATTTGAATTTTTATATTGTCGCGTAAATATTAAGAAACACGGCTAGTTATATACTATACCTACCTTATCTACAGAAGGTTTACATCATGTACGATATGCTGACTCATACTATCAGTCTCCTAAATAAATAACAGATTCATATACAAATATAACAATGGTGACATACATCTGCTGAAATGGGATTGTATTTATAAGTAATAAACTCTGTTTATATACGCAATGTTACAAATACATATTACACATGTCAATATACGTAATAATAACATTAAAGATATAACAAAAATACCTCGGCATTTCGAATGTTACGGTAATAAGGTTGAGTTACGCTGGTGACAACACTAAGTAATATAAGACGGGCCAAAGTTAATGACAGTCAGTTTTCCCCGCGCCATTGGTGTTTCAGAATGAAAGCAAGTGTCTATAATAAATGACATTAGTTTAACCAAAATGTTTAATTATTTACATCTTAACTATAGCTTAGGAATCTTCACCAATTACATACTTCTATTGGCAATTTTGGAACAACACAAATACTGCTTCGTTAAACATTTGTATTTTGTTGTAATTTGGTTTGGCAATATATATCACAAGCACTTATATTCGGGATTGATCATGTTGAAAAAGGGCATGAACCTAATACTCTACAGATGACTGTCAATCAACACAGATGGACTTTCAAGTGCTTCTTTTCTCTTTTTAATCGCTTCTTTGAGTTTTCTCTGAGGTCCAAGTCGTAGCCCTAACCTGGTGAAATCATCGTCTGTGAGTAACATTAAAGCATCTAAATCCGTGTCCTCGTTTGTGAAAATGTAAGTGTAGTTACTCAGTCCACAAGATTCCAAGAACCGAACTAAGGGAGAGAACTCTGATTCATCTTCTTCGTCGTCGTCACTGAAAAGGTCGTCATCGTCCTTCCATGGCACCGGGCCTTGGAGACGTTCCTCTAAACTCGTCGTCGTACCGATGCTGTCAGTCCCTGTGCTGTTGCGGTTGCTGTCCTTTGATCGTTCGTCTTCGATGTCTATGTCGTTTTCAATTTCGTCCAGGAAGTCGTACGAGGAAGCCTTTGTGAATCCATTGAGAGTTCCAGTTAGGCCTTGACGAGTGTGTAAGAAGGACAAGGTTCCCAGGGCGTTCCTAAACATTCCCGGATTGTCTGAATCTTCTTCGTTAACGTTTGTTGAATCAATTGAGCCGGTGCCAGAGTCAATGAGATCGGACTCACTTTTCCATTTGTTTTGTTTTGGAAGACTAAACACGTTTGCCAAAGCTGGTCTGGTTCCGGAAGCCGTAACACCATTATCAGACTCTTTGGTAGTAAGATACATAACATCAGAGTTCTTTCGGAAGCCATTTGTACCTTTCATAGACCTCAATGTTCTATTGCCTTCACCATCGAACTCGCTAGTTTTAAAATCCATCACTGACTGCGAATCAATACCGATGTTTTGTTTTTGTAAAATTTTCTTTTTTGTCCCCCTCGATTTCGTACCAATCGCTATGTCAGAAAATGTTTGCACGCTTGTGCAATCGTTTCCTATGTATTTGCGATTAGTAGACCGGAGCTTCATTGTCAATGTCTTAAACACATTCATTTTGGAAGGTGGCTTGAAATCATGATCAATTTGTCTTAAGCGTTTAGAATCTTCCTTCTCTGCGATTTTTTGTGCTTCTTTGTTACGTCTGTCTTGTCTCTTACCGTTTCTATCCGCGTCCTCGAAGGCTTTCGCACAGAGTTTTTTAACAACACTTGGGTTGAGTTGCTGTTGTTGTGATTTAGCATCGTCCAGTAACTTAATAATCTCCGTCTTGTCCCAAAGAGAAGCTATATCCTGAGATGTTTTGTAATCGTTGTCCATGGCCCAGATATTAGCACCATAATTGATCAGGAAGGAGGCAACGTTGATGTGTCCACTTTTGCAGGAGTGATGAAGAGACGTGAATCCCATCAGGTCCATCTTGTCTGGGTCACCCCTTCAACGACAAAAGTTACTGATGAATCAATATTCATATATGGATTGGGATTCAAAATAGCCAGTATCAGACAAATATGCTGAAATGAGCTGATAATAAATACATTTTTTATTTAACTAGTTATTACTTTACAAGGAAAATTTCCACGTAGCTTAACTTTCACCTATTACGGTAAGGTAAAAAAATCAGCGTCAAAATGTTTATAATGAAGCTAAATTTTATGTATATTACTTTAGGACACATTTATCACTGGGCGAAGACAAAGGTCGAGAGAAAATAACTCAGGGGGAATGTTTCCCGATGTACAATATATAACATTACACAAAAACGTGATGACCTGGACACAGTCTACGGACACTCCACCTGGTCAGATTATACAGGTAATGTATAAAGATATCACTAACAACGAATCAGATTTAAGGTCATAAATGGTGTGAACTATTGACAACAGAATCTTTCTTGTAGACAATATTCATATGTGAAGACAGAAATAGATGTGAGAGTGAGAAGTGGATTATATCATATGATTAACACGTGTGTATATATGTGGGTGAGATCGCGCGGCTATGTGTTAATCTTAGTGATTTCGTGACTTATGCCCGTAAAAACACTACTTCGACTCTATTGAAGCCAAGTCGACATGTGCGTTGCAGGTTAGCGTTATTTATTACTTTTCTTGTGGGACTTTAAAACACTATTCAATAAACAAAAAGCAATCGTCTTAATTTATTAAATGGCTGTTTTTTCCTCAATTAAGATAAAACCATTTATAATGTATTGAGAAAGGTAAATGATATCTGGTCTCTATACTCAACCACCTCACAAAAGACAAGTTACTCTGGTGTATCAAGTATGCAGCGGTTTGGACAGTTGTGCAATGAGGTGATAAGGGAATACATGGACTTTTTTTAATCTAATAGATAAACATTCGTATCTGATATGTGGTGTAAATGTGTCATCATGGCAGTATCGATGTTTGTATTTCTAGATATTGAAACTCAATGTGTTGGCTTCAGTAATAACCAATCATTTATGATTATTTTTATGGTTATAGTTCTCACTTTAGAAAATGACAGACAGACAGATGGATGGACGGACAGAGTATGCTATACTGTAGCTTGTGTACTATGTGCTTTAAAATAGACTTTGCAGTAGGAACCAGTTAAAAAAGTACACATTACAGAAATCATGAAAATATCCTTATTTTACACGGCAATTTTTGCTTTTTGTAATATACATATTAGACACGCATTCTGCACAATTAATTAAATATACTTTGACTTATACCAAATGCAATCTTTTACTCAAACATTTTACACATGTTTTGTAGTCAATATTGATTTCCAACCTTGTTGGTTATTCATAGACAAATGTCTTTAGTCGAGTTACACACAGCATCGTTCAGTTTTAATTAATTAGATGAAACAATGTACCAACCAGTGTCTCATTTCTGTTTATATTACCACCATATACTGTCAAGTCTTCCGAACAATAAACAGGACATTCATAGAACTTATAAGACAACCCAAACTACACTTTGAAGAAAGAGTCCAATGATGCATGACTGCGACTATATCGCGGTATCCTTTACAGCTACTATACAACAGTATTTATCCATAAAGGCTCTGCGTGCTGTCTAACAAGTTGAATATATGCAATACACGTAGAAAAAAGTGTGGTACGACACCTTTTTATAAAATTGATTTTGTTTGACTAGTTCTCATAACATCCGGAAGTATTATGAATTTTATCGAATGTTATCTTAGACATGCTTCCTTTCGTGTATCTGGCCAGGTACCCCATGGAACTGACATAGAATTCAGTTTGTTTTATTAAAAATCTGGTTTTAGCTTAGTCACAAAATGTGAATATGTGAAAGAAGCAAATCATTTGCAGTTCAGCCTGACATGAATTTCCACTTAATTCTCAACTAAAGTTGAGAGTCATAAAATATTGAATGTTATTATTCTATAACCATCGAACGATATTATTGATTCCTGTTTCAGTGATCTTGCCGTACATAAGAAGCGTTTCTCCCATGTGTGTTAACATTTTTATCTAAGAAACTAATTAAAACTCAAATAACAAGCACCTGTTATTTGCTTTCCTTTTAAAGTTAAAGGAACATTATCCAAGCGTTATAAAAGGCATGTTACCGTGTAAGTTTTCAGAAAGCGGAGTTAATTAGAGTGTTCGAGAGTACTGTAAACGTGTAGACTTTAGTGATATATTATCATAATCTTATCATTGGACTTTTCCTACTAAAAGTATGCTAAAATATAATACCGCTGTGTCGGTTGTTTTTGTAACAATAATTCGGGATCCTCATTACACAACGTGGTGATGTGTTAAAATTGGATTGCACCAAATTAAGTGTTACTTATAGTCTATATATGTTATCATTTTATAAATCTGAATTTTTCATTAATTCAGCAAAAGAAAATTATAAAGACAATTGTGACTTTGAAATATCCACGCTTCATTGTTAATTTTACTCGTGACCTATACAAGACGTCAAGTGTACAGTCCCTTTAAACCAGTAATACTCCGGACAATACACAAGTTGATAAGCTTACTAGGTATGGACAGTACCTGTACTTGACCGTTAAATATGATGATAACAGGGGCATTTCATGGCAAGACTTCTACATAAAGCTATCTTTATGTTTCCTGCTAAATGGGCAAATTCCCAAAGTTACCTCATTGAAATAATATCAGTAGCACTCACCGTATGACAAATGAGCATAAGACGTGAACCTGCGTTGCTGGGTGATTACTAAGACGATTTCCTTTACAACTAAGGTATCAACATACCAACAATTCGGTGAAAATATCTAGATTTTTGTTTACAGTTAATCTCGCCAAATACGACTGTTGAAATAATCCAAGTAACAACAAGAAACCGCCTATAAAAGTGCCTTAGTTGGGGAAGAAAACTTACAAAACATTGATTTAACAAACATGACTAGCTGTAAACTTCTTCTGTATCCTAGAGATAAATCTTTAACGAATGTAATGCATTCTAGAGATATAGATTTTGCTTTGCTTAGTTTTATTTATAAGACATGTTCAAGTAAAGAATTGCTCCGTGAACGGCCAGAGCCATTTTGAGGGATGTCTCATCATAGCAGATGGTGGTCGCTCACTAAACGGAAGGTCTGCCACATGCCATCCAAAGCAATCTGGGTAACGTGTTTTTCCCAAGGATACAACCGATTATACTGAAAAAATTACCTATAGATATTTCCTTTGTAGGTCAAATAGTTTAGTTATAAAAAAGTATTTGAAACGACGGCTAGCACTAAAAGCAATTTCTAAACGAGCTTTTGTCTTTACTCTTATAAATTTATATCTGTAAATATGATATTTGAAACGTCATCGAATCAAAATAATTCATTTTTGTCTGTGTCCTGAAGACGTCAATACATTTCAAAAGAGATTAGATTCACAACAGGTATCATTTCTATCCCTGTACCACGCTGATAGATCTGACACGTGGTGTTTTATCTCTGTTTATCACCTCTCAACAGCTCTATTTGTGTGCTAGACACTATGTAGCTGCACAGGACCGCATTTTTTATATTCCTGGTCAAGGTTTTATGAATTCGTCAAAAGACATGCATGTCGGTGGCACATTGTGTATGGCAATTTTTACCCCAGGTGTATAGGTATTGACCTGGATGACAAATGAAACATATACATCTATACCCTATCTAAATATCCTATATTGTCGTCATGTACAACACATCAGATCAGTATTTTCATTGGTTATTTCTACAGGAAATAAATAAGCGGTTTTTACCGAGATGTTTGATTTACCACATTGTTCAGAATATCCCTTGAGCATTCAGAAAGAAATATATTATAAAAAAAAAAAAAAAAAAAAAAAAAAAAATATGTAATTCACGTGATACTTTACATAGAGACATGACATTCAATAACAGGTAATGTATTTTTCAGGTGGTCATTGGTCACGAGTGACAAAGAACAGGTATATATTTATAATTGAAGGATATATTTCAAATGAGGTACAACAAACTTTTAAACTGTTATTTTTATATTTATAACATTCCTAAAGAATCGAGAGACTTGATTACAGATTTCCCTCAATTCATCTTCCGTGTCTAGGTCCATCATACAGAGTAGACACAGGTAGGGTCTAATCTCAGGACATAATTACCTTGTTGTATGGACTAAACAACCGGGCGTTATCTCCCCACTGGTAAAACTATCTGGTAAAACATTGACGTAAGCTGGTCGACAGGGTGGAGATATAACAGGTCTAATCGCAAAGGGAGGCAACTGGTGTTTAAACAGGACCTACGTTACACCTCGTGTAAACAAATATGACACCTCAATCTACCTACTTGACAGTCATTTGGTATTATCTTGATTCCTTTTCTTGTCTTCCAAATCCATGAATATGATAAATATTTTCATTAATTTTTGTCTACCCGCTGTGTTACCATCATATTAATGTTAGTTTAACATAATATTGAAGTTGGTTAATGATCAGTCATCGCTTCATGGACCTTCATAATGCATTGTGAAAATCAATCAGAGAACAATGTATACAACAACTGAATTAACAGGTAAAGTCACGAGCATCAAACACGTCCAGCTTTATATCACACAAAGAAATCGAATATTTCTCAATAAGATAGCTAGGAAGCTGTTAGAGTTGACGTGGTTGTACAAAAAGATCGAGATAAGTGGCTGATGAAAAAGAGTCTGTCGTATATACGATGTAGGTGGTCAATAAATTTCTTATTATTTAAAGACAGTACATCATTAATATTCTGAAAGTCAAATTAAACGTCTTTGCAAGGACTTTATGGTATGTTTAGATAAGTTCTTCAATAAGTGCAGCCTCGTATCAAAACAAAAACAAGTCAGCTAACAGAGGGGAACATTTAGTTCACTTCTCATCTAAAACTTATACCAGATTTGTTCTCCCTTCACCAAATGATGTTTTAGTCATGGTCTTGGGACCAGATAAG